CGTAATGATAAAAGACTTGACTTGAACCAGATTACCTGTTTCTGAGGAGGTTTTGAGGCTGAGATGTTGTTAAGATCATCTGAATTTGGGAGTTTCTTGAGCTTCTTCTTGTGTAAAGGATTACTAGAACGGTTAGCTTTAACATATGTTGATTCAGACAAGAACGCCTCTCGCTGCTTGATTCGAATATCGGTTGTTGGGGAATCTTGTTTTACGGGACGGGGAGAGAATCTTGTTTCACTCTCTGCCTTGTTGCATCGGTTGATGGGTCTCAGTTCCCTTTGTTTTACTCTTTTCTGGTTCTGTTTCTCTCCGGAGGCTTTCGATACAGAAACAAGGATCGTCGTCGTCGTTAGCTTTGGCTTCTGAGTGGCATGTTCTGGTCTGGATGAAGATTGAAGTGTATTAGTTTTGTGAATGGTGCTTGGTTTGTTCTCTTTATCTGAAAATCTGGTTCTTGGTGAACAAGAAACTGTTGTGTCTCTTCTAAGCAGCTCATTACTGTTTTGTGATTGTCCTGCCGCTCTGTTCTTCACCGAGTTTGTTATATCCATACCGACGAATCTTCTGGTGACGACCCTTTCTTTGATTTGCTTTACTATCTGCCTCGCGTACTCCCTCGAACTCCGATTCTCCTCTTGATCTTGTTTCATATCTTTCACCCTTGAACAACCAAACTCTTCATGCTTATTCTCTTTGTTCAGCTGAAGAGAGAGGCGATGAATATCGAAATCAGATTTCCTAGCAGAGGACATCCTAGGGCTCTCAGGTAAAGATCTAGTCCCCAAGCGTGTGCCTTTCTTGGAAAGCCTATGGCTTGAGAGACGACTTGTTCCATAATGAGTCATTGAATGTAGATTTTGGAGGGAATGGGTAAGATCAGTTTTATCAGGAAGAAGATCAAGACCCATAAGTCTAGCCACCAAGTTTGGTGTTTTGCTGCTTGGTGAGTTGCAGATTTCAGATGAACAAGTGGAAGTATCGGTTGCTAGATCTCTGAGTCTTGAACTCTTTGTCCCTATCTCTGTTCTCACTCGCATGCTTGCCTGCAATTCCAAGGTCATTTAATAAAAGATTAGCTCAACAAAAAACCCATCAGAGGAATTAGTAAAAAGCTTCTGACTTACAGGAGGAATGTTGAAACTGTGTGTGTCCTTGTAAGTTGTTGATGGCAAAGACTCTTCCTCTGTTATCTTCAAGCCTACAAATTTCAAAATAACAACAACAAAAATCCTCTGTTAGTATCTCAAAAACTTGGTTTCAGTCTTTAGGGACTGTGTAACTTATCACTGAAGAAGGAGCATACATGTACCTTTTGAGGTTGAAGAAGGAGAATGAATAGTAAAGTGATGGTGAGAAGAGAAATAGAAATGGTGGAAATCAAACAAGTGATAAAAAGCAGCCATGCATCCATTTGCTTTTCTCTTCTTGGACTTGGAGTAAGAGATTGCTCCGCCGTCACCGGCGAATCTGTGGCAGTCTCTTCTTCTCATTTGCAGTCAGAGGAATGTAAAAAGCTTACACCTTTTTTGTTTGAAGCTTACACCTTTTTCACTACTTTAACACAGTGAAAAGGAATTACTGACAAAAAGATAGTTTAGATAAAGAAACAAGCAAAAATCCAAGCCTTTGTGTTTCTGTTTAATCTTTCTTACTTCTTCTTTTCTGTATTTGGTTCATGAGTTTTTACCAGACAAGAGAGAGATGTAGGAACTAGGAAGCAGCTCCTCTCTTTAATTTCTCTCTCTCTCTTTTGCATTGGGAATCGAAGAGAGGGTGGTGAAGAATATTTAATGTGACAAAAATGTTAGTAGTAATTATTCAAAGAGAGAGGATAATAATTACAGATAATGAAAGTGTAAGATTGTTAGTCGTATTTATTAGATAACGATGGCCACGCACAGACATCTTGAGTGCTTACAATATCATTTCCACCACTCTTCTCTGTACTAGTAATTTGTGTTTTCAAGTTTTGAACATG